AGTAACGTCAGGAGATGCAGTCCCATGGTGACCGGTTACAAACAATGGGTTCATACGCCATTTGTTTCCTTACGATCCTGGAGCCGATGTACACTATTGGTTTGGAATGAGGGTTTTCCAACCCCCGTAGATGAAAAACCGTGTCCACCAACCTGGTTAGAGCGCCGTACTTCGTAAACAATAGTAATGCCGCCAGAAGGCAATGAGCAGAACTTCCCTGGTAGTGGTTGTGTGCACGTGGCCACTTGAGAGCATTTGGATAGGGAGAAATAACTCTCCCCACTTTCGGCCTTATAAGGGTATTTGAAAGATCATTAATATTCAAACCATTAATTTCGAATATACTAACTTCGTTAACAGAAAATATTGAGCTTTTTACAATAGGGTGTTTGTTTAATTCTTTACACAGTGCATATTAAGGCTTAATAATAGAAATTTTGGCATCAGATATAAGTTTGTAAAAATGATAGAAATTCTGTAATGAAGTAAATCATTTAGTGTATGATAGTAATTCAGAAAGAAATTGGCGGACCCTTAAACTGTGTTTGATATTCATTTCTCTACAACATTTGTTTATTCAGCAAAAGAATGCCTTCTAAATAAGTACGAAACAATTGATATAACCCACAATGTGGTATGTGATAATGTGCTAGAAGAAAAGAGAAATGCACTGATAGTTTCCATTGAATATACATAATTTGATTATCTAATTTACATTTATTTTATTTATTATTTATTATAACACATAGGTATTGGTACAAGGAGGCACCAAATACATATGCGCCACACGAATCTCAATTGATTTGTGTGAGGGCTGTGATACTGCTCGGGTGCCCAAACCGAAGCAGGTGGTTTTCTTAGAGGGCCACACCCCGAGCCTTCGACCTGAACGTCTGATCCACAAGGCAGTGGAGCATCGTGAGGAGATGCAGTCCCATGGTAGCCGGTCACCAACGATTGGTTCATACGCCATTTGTTCCTTCAGGATACTGGAGCCCATGTGCACCATTGATTTGGTTTGGGATCCGGTTAAAGCCGGTGCCGGACATTCGCTTTTCGTCCTCTCATTTTCGTAAACAACAGTAATGCCACGTGAAGGCAGTGAGTAGGACTTCCCTGGCAGGGGCTATGTACGCGTGGCCATGTGAGAGCATTTCGAGAGGGAGAGCGGACTCTCCCCACTCTCGGCCGTACCAGGGCATTTGGGGGCATCTAATTTACAAATGAATTAAGAATACTACCACTTTCTGAATTCATCCAACTTGATACAGATACACATGCTTCTTGTACACGAATCCGATCTCGTACATGAATCAGAAGACTAAGGATATCGACGTAGGATATCATTTCATTAGGGTTGATCAGTATGGTCTTTGTTTTAGGTTATTTAATTCATCTTCAACACAAATTCTTTTTTTTGCTAAAATTGATCAGACTTTTGATTCATTCCTGTCTTTCGGGGATTAATAATGAAGCTGAGTTAGCAGCATATCGTTATAGAATATATGAATATGTGATAATATCATTTGTATTCATTTTACTATATGGGTATAATTTCAACTTAAATAGCTTATTATTAAACTGTATGACTTAATCATGAATAGGTGTTACTAAATATCTAAGGTACTGATAGTGTTTACTAATGAATATAAACAAACAACAACTTTAACTAAAGTGAAGATTGTTGTTTGTAAATCTTATGTTTAGTTTGTTGTGATCTACTATTATGAACAGAATACGATTGGTGTAATGGAAATATTTATTATTATAACCAACTGTACCAATGATTGTTTTACTGTACCTTTGTGTTTAATTGTACCAAAAACACACTTTTTCCGTTGTTTTTGACCTTGAAATTACTCAAGTACATAATAGTAGTCTCGCTTGTAAACTTTGGCACGATCTCGGTATTATTTCGGTTCCGCGAGATCATCAACAAATATATCCTAAATACAATCTACAACTGTCATTGTAATATTTATCCTACGGAGGGATTTAACCTGGTAATGGGCATGTAATCAATCTGTAGTGGTGATCATAGTCAACTGCAAATCGACACTACCACAAGTTATTAGATTGTTTAATATAATAATGGCACATCGCATACTTAAACAGATGGATACTAAAAGAATATGAGAAATCCATGAAATAACACTAACAACTATTCTGTTTATTAAACTAATGATCTTGGTAGTGTGTAAACTAAGATCTAAAATTTCATAGCTCATGTTGAAACGAATATCCATCGTTTTATAAAAAGAAATGAAGTCAGAGATTGAACTTAATACATCTAAATAACAATAACTGAGACACTTCCCTAGAAGATAAGAAAATCGTATTAGGAATAACCATAATCAAAGTACTATATGAAATAGGTAACACAAAAAGGAAGATATACATCAGTTATAATGTGAACATTAACACTTTTGATGTAACTGATGAGTTGAAAATAGGAAGAGCGGCATGCGCTGAATTACACTGCTAACTGGTAATGGAACAGTTATATCGAAACAATCGGTTCAGGATACAAATACCCCAGCAAACTTACTTACTTACACCTAGTAACTGTCGCGGAGAAGCGTAGGCCACTCACCAACATTCTCCATCCAACTCTTTCATGAAGAATCCTTTCAAGTTGCTATTCAACCTTCTCATATTCGCTTTCGATTCCCAGCTCAATGTGTTATATTGTCTTCCGCTTTCCCGTATCTTTTCAGAATTTCAAGTTAGTACTTACCTCGTGATGCAATTTGATGATTTCCGAAATGTATATCCTATCCACTTACAACGTCTTTTACTAGATTCAGTTGGAAGCTGGTTTGTTCTCTCTCTAGTAGCCTGTTGTTGATGATATCCGGTCAACGAACATTGAGTATCTTGTGTAGAAAATTGTCTACAATTACTTGTCCATTTTCGGATGATGACTGTAGTGGTTGTCCAAGTTTCAGCTACGTACAGTAGAACTATCTTGACTCTCGTATTGAAGGTTCTCAATTCGACGTTGACTTGCAGACAGTTGTTTTGAGTTGCATATGTTCTCCGACTGTGGGAATGCTGTCTCTGTTTTGCCAATGCTTGCATTTACAACTGCATCGAATCCTCCTTGTTCATCGATGATGCTGTTCAGGTACGTCAACGTTTCCACATCTCCCAAAGTTTCTCCATCAAGTGTGATTGCGCTAGTATTCTCTGTGTTGTATTTGAGGATGATGGTTGTTCCCTTGTGTATGTCGAATCCTACAGATGTAGAGGCTGTTGCTAAACTAGATTTCCTCATCTGCATTTGTTTGTGTGTATGTGTGAGATCGATGAGCCAGGTCATCTGCGAATTCAAACTGCTCACTTTGTTCCGTGCTTCTCCTCATATGTGAATGTCTTCATAATCCAGTAAACCATGAGAAGAAATAGAAAGGAGGATAGTGGGCAGCCTTGTTTGACTCGAGTCCTTACTTTGAATTCGTCTGTCAATTGTCCTCAATCCACTACTTTTCAGTGTAGTCCATCATATGAATTGTCCTATCCACACTACCGAATGCTTTCTCATAATCAGAGAAGTTGATGTATAGTGTTAACTTCCATTCAATCGGTTGTTCATCGACGATCCGTAGTGTCACGATCGCCCTTCCGAATTTCTCAGTGATACAAATATGATCGATCTGATTCTCGGTAGTGTGATCGAGTGAGACACATGTTGCTTTTTAATGTATTTGTGGAAGAATATTGTGCCACCTCTAACTATTTTATTGAATGCACATATGTTTGCAAATCTCGCATCATTCTCGTTCATTTCTCTCAGTCAGTCCATGTTGTCCCATGCTATCTTCATATCCGGTGCTGTCCATTCCAACTTTGGCGTTTAAGTCTCCCATCAGAATTGTCTGGTTCTTTCCTCAACACTTCATTATGATTGATTCCAGCCTCTCATAAAACAGATCTTTGTCGTCGTCATTGCTATTATTGTTGTTGTTGTTGCATAACACTGGATAACATTCATTGTGATTCCCTTCTTCTTTGTTTTGAATGATGCTTAGATGGTTCTGGATCCATGAGATTCCCATCATATCAACTCTGTGCGTTTATGGAGTACTTACTTCTTCGTGATCAAAGTACAAAATCATCTCTGCCGAATCTGACTTTTTCTGTTTAACTTAGGTCCAACGGATTTCATTTATTCCAAACCCCATCAAGTTATATCTCTTCATTACCGTAGCTATTCCAGCAAATATTGACTAAAACTCAGTCTTAAATATCAGCATTTGATTAGTTCAAACTAATATGATAGTTAGACACTACTTTACTGCACACAATTACAAGTAGTCTACTTTCATTAAGTCTAGAATGGATATAAATATTGGAAACGAAATTATCAATTAACTAGTTAGTAAGGTGTGTTTTTCAATCCACAACCCTAACCAACCATATTTATATTCGATACAAACCCTCATATTTATCTTAGCTTATTAATACTTTAAATGTATTTTCTTTCTGATTGCTTAGTCAAGTACAAATAATGCTAATTATGCTTTGGTGTGACTATAATTTATAAATGAAACAATCAGATTCAGGATAATAGGTCTCTGACTTTAACTCGAAATTTACTGATCCATTTGACTAAACAGCGTCTTAACATTTTAGTGAATGTCAGTTTATGATGAAAAAAAACCATAAATTTAACTCATAACCCTAATCATCAACTATGAATCATAATCCTTATTCTTTAAACTGTTTTCTAACTATCATTTAGCTCTAGTAAGTAGGTAGACACTTCTAAAATCACTTTGGTATCATTCATAGATTATCCATAAATTATAGTCACATATACTGAGCTAGATAGTTTAGTTGTAGAGCTTTCATTGTTCCTCTGAATGACATCATCATCATCATTATCAGTATTCATTTCAGGTAGAAGTGAAGTATTTGAATTATAGTCATATCTATACTTTTATTCTTGTATCCAGAATATGGAACCGTATCTAATGGATATCAAAAGATATTACTTAATAATCGAAAAATGTTTACTTTAAAAATAAATTCACATATTTAATATTGTTTATTTTTCAATGTAATTGTTATGTAATTTATAAGCACATTTACAATAATAATAAAAAAACAAAAAGAATTGAATAGGTAAAAATATTAGCATAAATAAAAAATAATGACCAATTAACCATTTGGTACAAATGATAGTCAGTTTTACCTTTGATATTTTCATTCATATTTTCAGTTAGTAGTATGATTATTATTATTAGTAGTAGTGGTAGAAGTATGGTTGGTAGTAGTAGTAGTAGTAGTAGTAGTAGTAGTAGTAGTAGTAGTATGATACGTGGTGGTAGTAGTAGTAGGAGTAGTTGTTGTTGTTGTTATTGTTGTAGTAGTAGTGGTAGTAGTAGTAGTATGATTATTATTATTAGTAGTAGTGGTAGAAGTATGGTTGGTAGTAGTATTAGTAGTAGTAGTATGATACGTAGTGGTAGTAGTAGTAGTTGTTGTTGTTATTGTTGTAGTAGTAGTGGTAGTAGTATGATTAATATTAGTAGTAGTAGTAGTAAAAGTATGATACGTAGTGGTAGTAGTAGTAGTAGTAGTAGTGGTGATAGTTATGTAATAAAATGCCTAAAGTTTTGATTAATAACAATTTTCTTTTTTGGAAATAGATATGATAAAGTTATAAAAACCGGAATATAAAACATTAATGAAGTGTAATTATATTGGATTTTGAATTGTTCTCTGGAAATTCTGTTACTATGGTTCTGTTTGTGATTGTTATAGGTGTTGGTATAGTTTTAGTTATTGATGTAGTAGTTGTTGTAATTGTGGTTGTCATGAATGATGATGTAAAAGATATTGTAGTAGTAATAATAGGATGTTGAGTTTTATGAAAATCCTCTAAGAATTGATAAACTAAACGTTGTCCTTTGACTTTTCGTAAAATATTCTGCGCATAATAATACCTAGATGAAATATTATAATAACAGAAAAACAAAACAGTCAAAAATAAGGTTAAGTTTTGCATTGATCTTTATTTATACTCAATATATGTCCCCGAATGCCCTGGTACAGCCGAGGGTGGGGAGAGTTAGCTCTTCCTATCCAAATGCTCTCAAGTGACCACGTGCACGCAACTACTGCCAGAGAAGTCTTACTCACTGTCTTCTCGTGGCATTACTGTTGTTTACGAAATTGAGAGAACGAAGAGCGAATGTCTGGCACTTTAACCGGGTTGGTGAATATGGATAATTCACCTAGGGGAATTGGCAAACCCTAATTCCAAACCAATAGTGCACATGGGCTCCAGGATCGTAAGGAAACAAATGGCGTATGAACCCATTGTTTGTAACCGGTCACCATGGGACTGCATCTCCCAACGTTGCTCCATTGCCTTGTGGATTAGACCTTTAAATCCAAAGGCTCCGGGTGTGGCCCCCTAAGAGAACCATCTGCTTCGGTCTGGGCACTAGGGTTGTAATCTAGCCCTCATATGAATCGAATAATTTATGTGGAGCATCTCTGTTTGGTGCCTCCTTGTACCAATGATAATGTGTTTAAATAAATAAATAAAATGTAATCAATAGATAGTTATTTATCATTCCGAATATAACACTTTAATTAATTAAATTCACTTGGTAATTTTCATTGGAATCTTCCCATTGATGTTTTGGGCTACAATTGATCAGTCTTTTATTGGCATACGTGCATGCTGTGCCTATTCCCTCGATATAGCCTTAATTCACTAGCATTACAAGCAAAGATGGATAGTGGCTAGAGCATTGGAATCCAGGACGCACCTTTCGTCCTCTTTGGGATTCGTCAGCTGGCGAGTGCTAAGTCCTGTATTCCACTACTAGCCACTATCCATCTTTGCATATAATACTTTAATTAATTGATTATAAGCCATGAACTTAAGCTACAGAATCGCTTACTCGGAATAGCTGATTTATCACAGAAAAGCTAGGTTTCGACTTTGATGAAACTTCACAAAGATCAGATTTTCTCCAAGTTAAGATTCTCAGTTATCAGTTCTAGTGTAAAACTTGTTACGAATGAATAGAAATCGATTAAGTTTATGAATTGATCATTTTAAAGAAACTAGTGTGGTATTCCATGCCAAAATATCGTTAAAGTTTATTGGTAGATTAAAAAAGGGAGTTAACACAATGTAAATGTTATTTTGGAAAGTATGATAGAATATGAAAAACTAACTCAAAGTTCCGGGATAATAAGATGTTTTTATAAATGATATTAGATAATAATGGATTAACCTTAAATGGTGGTTGAAGGTAGTCAACAGGAAACCCTGGACCTGGATTTCGTGCTACATGGCACTCGTCAGCATGGTGTACCTGTAATCTTGAGGGAACTAGTGTTCCCTGACGGATTCAATCCCGTGTCACCCAGCTTCACAGTCAGAAACCTGGTAGATAGCATTCTATCTGCAGTAAGAAGGACTTGACACACATGACATTGATCACCGCCTAGTGATCAATCAATTTGGATCAACCTTTATGTGACCTGAGATAGATAATTCATCCAGTCATGTTATTTATGTATACATATAATGAAATAATCATTCTGTACTCTACTTATAGGGAGGTGATAAACATCTCTGAAGATAATTTTGTATGGATAAATTGAATATATATATATATATATATATATATATATATATATATATATATATATATTTGATAACTGTCTACCTTGATAATATGAAACCTTCTTAAGGTCTTTAGATTTCTGTTAGCTTTTGAGGAACTTCATTCCTTTTCCATAAGCTCTTAAATAATTGATAATCTAGTTCGTTTATATGATTGTGTTTAGGTGAATAAATTTTCTCAGTTCAGAGTAAACAATTTGGATTGTATACATTTATATGGTGTCAGAATTCTAACTGTCAACCAGGTGATTTTTCATTATCAGTAAGAGGTTGTGGAGATGTTAGTAATTTTAGTAGTTGAATTCATAAGTCGATCTAAGCTAGACCATCATTGAAAACCTGGAATTACTAGATGGCCGTCTCGTACTAGTATAGGTCTCCTTAGCAATACGCATCCATGATCTTACACATTGGATTCGAACCCAGTACCTTTGGTCTTGCGCGAGAACGCTCGAGCTTTAGACTACTGAGTCGGTATCCAACGGTGTTAATGTCTAACTTCAATCAATTCATGAAAATACGCGAACATCTTCCATTGTCAGAGATAAATGTCTGTCTCTACTTGACATGGATTAGCTGCACTAGTCACAGCTTCTCACTAGAATATCGGCCGTTTTATGATTTCAATCAAAAACTTAACAATCTCTGCAACCCTATACAGATAATTACCAAGTGATCACTAGTGACTAGCTTTGTGAGGAAATTCTCAAAGTTCCAGTAAGATTCTGTGACTAACAGAGCTCATCCGTGTCAAATAGAGATACATATTTATACCTGACAATGGAAGATGGTCGCACATTTTCATGAACTCATTAAAGTTAGACATTAACACCGTTAGATATCGGCTTAGTGGTCTAAAACTCAAGCGTTTGTGCGTAAGACTTAGGGTCCTGGGTTCGAATCTCGAGCTTGAGATTATGGATGCACACTGTTAACGAGTTCTATACTAGGACGAAAACGGCCATCTAGTACTTTCGAGTTTTCAATAATGATCTAACATCGATCAGTTTTTCATCAAATCTCCTGCAAATCTATGTTTTCTAATTATTTATACGAACATCTATTCACCATGTATATTTGCTGATGAATCTTTAGATCTATATACTTCTGTTCATTATAGTTTTATGTAAACCAATTTGATTTATGACTGTTAAGATTTGGAATGACATCTTTATCAACTGAGAGTTCTTACCAAACAAACAAACAAATATATAGTTACAGAAGGAACGAATTGAGCGAAGAAATTTCTTTTCAATTAGTTTTTCATAAAATCGACATTAATCCTCGCCTCACTGAGCCTGGCGCTATACTTCAGATACTCGTTGAGAACCTTTAGCGCAATTGAATGCTCAGAACGTTTTAATATAGTGAAAATTCCCATTTGGACATTTGATAAATACAGAAGGAACGAATTGAGCGAAGAAATTTCTTTTCAATTAGTTTTTCATAAAATCGACATTAATCCTCGCCTCACTGAGCCTGGCGCTATACTTCAGATACTCGTTGAGAACCTTTAGCGCAATTGAATGCTCAGAACGTTTTAATATAGTGAAAATTCCCATTTGGACATTTGATAAATACAGAAGAAACGAATTGAGCGATTTTATGAAAAAACTAATTGAAAAGAAATTTCTTCGCTCAATTCGTTCCTTCTGTATTTATCAAATGTCCAAATGGGAATTTAAATATATAGTTGCAATATCATGAAATATATTACTACATTGATAAAGTTCCATATCACTTACCTAAGAGCTCTACCCATTGTTTCATAATTCATATTTGGTTTATGCTTGTGTAAACCCCATAAATGTGCAACTGCAGCACTATTAACTAATTTAAACATATTTTGTGATTTATCTACCCAACAAATTAAATGTGGATTATATTCAGATTTATTAAGTAGATAATATAAAAATTGTGATAATTTAAATGGAGATCGTTTCAATGAAAAAGAGCGAGATTTTAAATTGAATAGTTTATCATGTATTGGAAAATAGTTTTTAGGAGATGAAGTTGCAGACAATGATGAAGAGGAAGCTGATGATAAAACTGATGATGAAGCTGAAGATGATGATGATGATGATGATGATGATGATGATGATGATGATGATGATGATGATGATGATGATGATGATGATGATGATGATGATGATGATGATGATGATGATGATGATAAAGATGGTGAAAAGGAGAAACATGACGACAATAGTGAAGAACTTGAAGGAGGAGAATTTGAAGACATAAGCATATCTGAGTTGTTATTATTATTATTATCTTGACTCAGATTTGTTTGATATTGATCTGGTACCAATGGGGATTTATAATCTGAAGATAACAAAGAGAAGAAATATATTCATATACTATACATATGCTTATAATCGCTATATGGAAGATAACTATATTTATGACTTTCAATGTTATTTTTAATCATAGAGAGTTAACTGATAAATGACAGTTATACTATTTAAGTAAATTTTGTTCATTTAGAAATTATAATTGCCAGATAATCGTTTACATTATTTTCGCTTCTTTTCCGAAACGAGAAGGCAAGGAGGCATATACTTACATTGAAATCATCAGTGTTAACCTAAAATCATAGTTTCAGATTTTTTTGTTATTGATGGTCGGTTAATAACAACTAAATATTGTTGCACTACTCCTGATTTGTTGTTACTACCTTGAAGTGGTGATCGGGCTTGCCTAATGTGATGAATTGATCGAGCTATACTGGTTGGAACAATCGTTCCTCAAAGTCCTACCATACAAGACAGGTTGGGTGAAGTACGGTAACACTAAAAGTGGCAAAACTAAGGTTCGAAGGCGATGTTGTACTGTTGACTGTAGAGAGGTGTGACGACAGTAAGGTGTTTCCTTCAGACAACCAGCATAACAGCGATGCTGCCTTCCCACAAGCAGAGGTGGGGTTAGAAAAGGTTGACTCTAAAAATGCACACCTCACCTTATCCCATGGATATCCGACTCCAGCAGTAAGGTCTCAGTAATTACGAAGCTAACACCAAAATTATTCATAAAAAGGTCGTGTGTGACTGACCCCAAACAGCTGTACTTTGAGCATTGCGGTCACGCTCTCAGGTCATTAAGACTAACCCTAGTTCAATTTCCTTTTCAGGTACTTCCAGAAGAACCTTTTCACGATAAAAGCAACCGGGAAGTGATAACCGCCCTCATACCTCTTACATCACTCAAGATCACTGACTGACTGTTACAATACTATCTATCAGGAACAGAATAACTGTTGATGAAATGTATAAAATAAGCAAAATGGATAATTAGCATATCTAGATAGATTAAAGGTATAAGATGATTCATATGAGTAAAATAATATTTTGAAAGGAGTTAACAACAATATTTCAATATTTCCTAGACAATAACAGATAATCTATATCAATGACGTTCAGTTATGACTAGTATATCAGTTAACCCATTACAGTGAATGAAAGTAATAGAGCTGTTTCATAGTATGGTTATTAGTTACTTTTCTTTTTTTTTTTTTTTTTTTTTTTTTTTTTTTTTTTTTTTGAGTTTTTGAAGTCCTTTGCCAAATTAAGCTTCATTTGATATCGATTTCTGAAGAAATCATAATCATTTTAACACAGTAGCTTTCAGTTGAAATTGAAATATCTGATTGCCGGTGTTTCTGTTTAAAGAGTTTTTTTTTAATTACGGTAGAACACATGGTTTCTGAAGTTAAATATTTTATAATCAGAGAGGGGTTTTGTGGAGATTGCAGTAATTAAATAGTTGAATTCATGAATTAATTGTAGCTAGACCATCAGGACTGATAGATCCTGGGTTACAATTTCGCGGGGCGGGTACATGGATGAGCACTGCTGAGGAGTTCCATACTAGGATGAAACGGCCGTTCAGTGCTTCCAGGTTTTCCATAGTGGTCTAGCTTCAAATGACTCATGAATTCAATTGTTAAATATATTATTATTGGTTGATATGATCATATATATGGATCAATACTATCCCATTGTCATTCATTATCTTCAAAATACCTAGTTTAGCTTGATGGTTTAAGGCTAAATTAATCAAGGATAAAGGATAAACTGAGTAATAAACTCGGGTTCGGTATCTTAGCGAATGCACATGCAACTTAATTAATTGGTTTTAAGCTAATGTAGACAGTATACAATGGAGAAGACCTCTTAGTAATTTGCTGGGATTTTTATCAACAGTTTGATAAAAATACATTTGCTTAATCTCAATTCTAACATAATTGCGCATCTGGTTAATTCAATAACCAGGATATCCGGTAGTCAATCTAATGTCAAACATATAATCATTATGGAATACTTGACCTGTGTTGGTTATTCAATTGTTTCAATATTATAATATCAATGATGTTAAGATAGTTATGGTTTGGTCGACATTCAAGCTCCACATCAAGATCCATAATGAATGTCTCATTTTTGAAATGACTCAAGTTTGATACCTATACTTGCGGTGGCGCAATATCGTGAATTGGTTGAAGTTGGACATTGCCATCGTTGAATACCAGCTCATTGGTCTAGAGGTTAAATGTTCACGTGAGAGACCGAGAGGTCCTTTGCTCGAATCCCGTGTGTGGGATCCTGGATGCCCACTGCTGAATAGTCTCGTAGTAGAACAAAAACAGCCTTTCAATGATTCTAGGTTTTCAATGGTGGTTTAGCTTGGATCGATCCATGAATTAAACTATTAAAGAAATACGTCTGAATATATCACTCTCTTCCATGATTGGCTATAGTTTTAATTTTACTCATTTGAATATCAGACATCAGTAGTGTTTTTCTAACTGAAAGGCGGACAACTTCAATGTCATGGAATGGTGTAAATTTCAGTGAGGATTTCACTAGAATTTATCTAGATTCTCTAAAATTGATAGCTTAAAATTATCATTAACCAGTGCGGTGAGACCATAATTTAAGAATGACCTTTGAGAGATTCTTAAATGATCTTGAGAGTGTTCACCTAATAACTAGGACCAAATGAGGGTTATAAACCTGTGTGAGGAGTTTGAATTATGATTTACAGTTGATGATTAAGGTTAGGAATTACATTAAGTGTTTTCATCATGAACTGACATCAGTTATAATACCAAAACTCTATTAAGTCAAGTGGTTGAAAGAGTTTCTCACGAAAATCTGAGACCTGTTATCTTATACGTGATTGATTCATCCATAAATTATAATCTCGCCGCCAGTGCATAAGGACTTAATTTTATGTCCAATATACATTTCTTAAAATGTAAAGTTCTGTTATTTGTAGACCTAAAATGATTAATAAATAACCTACGTTTCTGGAGCATTCACGTAAGTTGGTAAACCTTCGAAATAACTTCGCTGCAGTCTATCCTAATAAATTCAGATACGTATGTAAGCCAGAGTAAGATAGATGAAAATCTTTCTTAAAAAACATTGAAATCTCGTTTATGATAGTGTGTGTGATGTGTTAAACTTTTTATTATACGGTATGAAAGACCATACTATTTATCTAGCCTATGGTCTTTCATAATATAGCTATACGAATTGAGTGTTCTGATCGATCCTTAGTTCTTTGATGCAGATATAATTATTATTTACATCTTACATTCAGCTGACGAGCCCTAAATGAGACGAAACGCGCGTCCTGGATTCCACTGCTGGCTACTATCCACCTTTGCTTAAAAAGCTTATGACTTAAAGTAATATCGAGTTAATCCGCACAGGATGCACATATGCCAATAAGAAACTGATAAATTGCAGTGCTAAATAACAATGGGAAGATACAAGCAAACAACACCAAATGAATTTTTTACTGAGATCATGAACTGATTGATGTTAGATCACCATTGAAAACCTGGAAGCACTAGAAGGCTGTTTTGTCCTATTTTGGGACTCTTCAGCAGTGAACATCCAAGTGAATTTACGTTTAGTTTTTTGAATTATTTTTATTTCTTTCTATTTAATACCTTTATTTAATGTCGACTTGATTCACTACAATCCAAGTCTAATGTTCCAAACATTCTGTTACTACTCCTATCTTTACTCTAACAAGAGTGTTATTAATTTGTTTTTCGCACATTGAGCACTTAATGTATCATCCTTCTGTTTAATATACAAATGTGAAGATAAGCTTGTTTAAAACAATAAAGTGTATACATGTCAAATTAACAAATTTCGGAATCAAACATAAGAAAAACAAAATATCACTGGATGGTGATCAATGTCATGTATGTCAGGTCCTTCTTAGTGCAGATCGAATCTTATCGACCTAGTAGCAATGTGGCTATCAGTCTAGGTGACTCAACATTATGTGCACCATTTTGAGATAAGATGGGGCTTAGAGAAAACCCTGAACCTAGGTTGCGTGCTACTTGGCACTCGTCAGCGAGGTGTATTTATAATCTTGAGGGGAAATGATACTTCCTGACGGATTGGATTGTGTGTCATCCAGTTTTACAGTCAGAGACGTTACCACTGAGCTAATCGGGACGCGAATGACCCTCTATAGGACTGAGATGTATTTACAATTGATTGATCACTAGTTGGTGATCAATGTCATGTATGCCAGATCTTTCTTAGTGCAGATCAAATCCTATCGACCAAGTTGCAAACTGGCCATCATAGTACTTGACTGGTAAAAGAAACTTCTATCTAAATATCTCAAATAAACCCATTGTTCCTCTCATATTTAAAGCCGTGTTATTCAATATCATACAAATTGATGTCCATAATTATTTATTCACAATTAATGACAGATGCATTACAAGCCTGAATTGGATTTCCTGTCAGTTGATAGTATTAATTATATTGAATAAAACAGTCCTGAACACCAAATGAACTCTATTGCAAATGATTGATAACTAGTATGAGTCCTGGAGTACAAATTATCATCTCATAACATAAGTTTCATACCACACTGTTAAAGAGGTTAACTTACTAGATGTATCGACTCACCTGAACCAATAGATCTCAGTGAGTACCGAAAAATAAAACTCGGTATTAAGTGAAGTCTCATTATTGAACAATTAAGGTAAAAAATAAATGTGGATCTCATGATCCCATAGCAATTAGTCATTCAATAAACCACAAGATCAATATTTAACTTCACGGAGGTAAGTGTATTACAGATAAACACTACACGATTTCTAACCGTTCGTAGTCATCCAAATAAATCATGTACAAACTCTAAGAGTTACCAAATCAGTATTTCATCTAAACTTTGATGATGTAATGTAGCCAGTTATTTAAAATCATTATAAACAAACAAGTTAGTTATTATGACAATTAAGTTGTATCTGTTAAACAGGTTCAAACATGTTGTTAGTCTTTTTATTTATCATTTTATACTTCATTACGCCAAGTCTTTTGAAGATAGAGTAGACTAAACTAAATATAAGTATTTATACATTAAATACTAGGATGAAACAGCCGTCCAGTACTTCCAGGTTTCCCATGGTGGTCTAGCATCAATCGACTTATGAATTCAACTATTAAAATTACTACAATATCCACAAAACCCTTCTCTAATTATAATTATCATATGCTCACTAGTGAAGGTTTCCAATAGGTATTTCCTAAAGTTCTAGTGAGCACCTGTGACTAGTGGAGTTCAACCGGGTCTTTAGTGATATAGTAACTCACTGAAGACAATGGTGGATGGTGGTTCAATTTCGTGGATTGATTGAAGTGAGACATTAACACCGTTGGATGCCAGCCATCTACGTGGTCTAGATGTTAAGCCTTCGAGTGCGAGACCGATAAGTCCTAGGTTCGAATCTGGCGAGACGGAATCGTAGATGCATACTGTTGAAGAGTCTTACAGTAGGACGAAATGGCCGTCCAGTGCTTTCAATCTTCCCATACTGGTTTAACTTCAATTGACTCATGATCTTAACCATTAAACATACTATAATATCCACAAAAACCCCTTTCTGATTATCAATAATCCTGTAAGTTCATATAACCCAAAATACAAATTTGATGATCCATTTTAACTTTGTTTAAGTATTCAATTAAAAGTAATCTAATATTCTCTGTTAGTAGGTCATAGGGTAGAGACGATAACTCTGATTATGATAAAATTTGTGTCAGAAACTTTGCGTTAACCGTTATTTGGACAAAAAGTGTTTAATAAATAATCATGTTATTATCAGAAAGGGATTTTAAGGATATTATAGTAATTTTAATAGTTGAGATCATGAGTCAATTGAAGGTAAATCACCATGGAAAACCTGGAAACACTGAATGGCCGTTTCGTCTTATTGTGGGACTTCTCAGCAGTGCACATTCACGATCTCGTCTCGCGTAACTCGAACACAAAACTTTCAATCTCGTGAGTGAACACTTAACGTCTAGATTACTCAGCCGATATTCAATGGTGTGGTAATGTCTAACATTAATCAATCCACGATATTGTATCACCGTCCACCATCGTCTTTAGTGCATTACTATCACATAACAGATCTGGTTGAACTCCACTGATCATAGCTTCTCATTAAAACTTCAGGAAATACCAATAGATCCTGGATTCGAATCTCGTTAGATCAAAGGCAAGACAACTGAAAATAAGAATATATTTTCTTCTGTAACAAAATAACATGCTTATAAACAAACGAATAAACATGACTAGGAGTATTTTGAGAAATAAATGACTAAATAGTATAGGAATAAACCCTTAACTAGCAGGTTAAATTCTGGTTCATCTGATCGCCTTCCCTCATAACACGATGTACAAGTGATGATATTTTTGATTTCATTCCTTCAAATCATATTCCTCTTATATCTACAGAATGCAAGATACTCCTCTATCAAACTTTTGAATTTTAAGAGAGGATCAAGTCATGCTTTCACTTTCTACATACTCTTTAGACTGATCATTTAGCATGTGAATTCACTTGTAACGATATAGACATTAACACCATTGTATGCCGACCTTGTCAGTGATCTAAATGTTAAGCATTCGAGTGAGGGACTGATAGGTCCACGGTTGAGATTTCACAAGGCACCATTGTAGATGCACACTGCTGAGGAGTCTTACAATAGGACATCCAGTGCTTCCAGGTTATTATTATCATTATTATTATTATTATTATTATTATTATATAATTAAACTTATCAATATAAAACAATTAAGTTCTACCTGTAGATCGTTTAGATGATCTAATATATTTATTTGATCCAATTTTATTTCTCATTATATTGATTAAAGTTTTTTTTGTAGAATTTTTCAATGGTTGTTGAATATTTGATGAATTCAATTTTTGTATTCGATGATCATTTAAATCATTTTTATTAAATTGATTATTGATTGAATATTGAACATCTTGATAATTCCTTGATTCATTAAATTTTTGTATATTTTGATGATTACATAATAGATGTATATTATTATTATTATTATTATTATTATGGTTTATTAATGTATTATGTGAATTCGTCATATATGATGATAATTCATTCATTATAGGAATAGGAATTGAAGTGAATGGAGTAGTTTTCAATTGTTCCTGTTGCTGTTGTTGTTGTTGTTGTTGTTCTTGTTGTTGTTGTTGTTGAATAGCATAATTCATTGTATAATTCTCAGATGATATGAATGATGGTATTGATGTGAAATGAATTGAATGATTTCTTGTTTGATATGTGAATTGAGATTTATCATTAACATCATTATCATTATCATTATCGTCATCATCATCATCATGATCACCATCATTATCCAGTTTTGAAGATGATGTCATTGTCAATGATGACAATGGTGAAGATGATGATGACAACGACGACGACGACGACGTCGACGATGATGATGATGATAATGAAGATGGCAAAGATAATGATAATCCTAATGAATCAATTGATGATATATTATAATCTTTGTTTACGATAACACGTAAATCTTCAGCTTGTTCTAAATCATAATGATCATTATTACTATTATTATTATTATTATTATTATTATTTATATGATCTTGATACAATTGAATAATATGAATATAATATAATAATAATAATTGAATACATGATTTATCATTGAAACAATGAAATGATGATTGAATCATTTGTAAATCATTAAAAAATTTGTTTAAAATATCTGAATTTATTTGATCATTTAAATCCATAAAATTGATTGATAAAAGTGATTGATACAAATAATTAAGCACTAAGCAACAAGAACAGCAGCAACAACAACAACAATAAAAGAGAGAAAAAGAAAAAAGAGAAAAAAAAAGAAAATGATTGGATAGATACTAGTTGTATATCAGTATAAGGTTAAGGAGATTATTAAATACTTTTGATTGAGATCATGAATTGATTGATGTTAGACCATTATTGAAAACTTGGATGTAGTGGATAGTTATTTCGTCTTATTGTGGGACTCTTCAACAGTGCGCATTCATGATCCCACTCGTGGGACTCAAACCCATGGTGTTTAGTGTCGCATTTGAGATCCCGTAGTCTAACATTAATCGATTCATGATCTCATTTATAAACTAGCCGTACAATTTAACAATTATCACTGTTTGTATGTTTCTCGTCTTGCAAGTGAAATTATGTTCCAGAACTTTTATATGTTCCTAAAATTAACTTTAGGGTTGGGGAGATTATTTAATATTTTTTTGATTGAGATCATAAATTGATTGATGTTAGACCATTATTGAAAACTTGGATGTAGTGGATAGTTATTTCGTCTTATTGTGGGACTCTTCAACAGTGCGCATTCATGATCCCACTCGTGGGACTCAAATCCATGGTGTTTAGTGTCGCATTTGAGATCCCGTAGTCTAACATTAATCGATTCATGATCTCATTTATAAACTAGCCGTACAATTTAACAATTATCACTGTTTGTATGTTTCTCGTCTTGCAAGTGAAATTATGTTCCAGAACTTTTATATGTTCCTAAAATTAACTTTAGGGTTGGGGAGATTATTTAATATTTTTTGATTGAGATCATAAATTGATTGATGTTAGACCATTATTGAAAACTTGGATGTAGTGGATAGTTATTTCGTCTTATTGTGGGACTCTTCAACAGTGCGCATTCATGATCCCACTCGTGGGACTCAAACCCATGGTGTTTAGTGTCGCATTTGAGATCCCGTAGTCTAACATTAATCGATTCATGATCTCATTTATAAACTAGCCGTACAATTTAACAATTATCACTGTTTGTATGTTTCTCGTCTTGCAAGTGAAATTATGTTCCAGAACTTTTATATGTTCCTAAAATTAACTTTAGGGTTGGGGAGATTATTTAATATTTTTTGATTGAGATCATAAATTGATTGATGTTAGACCATTATTGAAAACTTGGATGTAGTGGATAGTTATTTCGTCTTATTGTGGGACTCTTCAACAGTGCGCATTCATGATCCCACTCGTGGGACTCAAATCCATGGTGTTTAGTGTCGCATTTGAGATCCCGTAGTCTAACATTAATCGATTCATGATCTCATTTATAAACTAGCCGTACAATTTAACAATTATCACTGTTTGTATGTTTCTCGTCTTGCAAGTGAAATTATGTTCCAGAACTTTTATATGTTCCTAAAATTAACTTTAGGGTTGGGGAGATTATTTAATATTTTTTGATTGAGATCATAAATTGATTGATGTTAGACCATTATTGAAAACTTGGATGTAGTAGATAGTTATTTCGTCTTATTGTGGGACTCTTCAACAGTGTGCATCCAAAATTCCGCCTAGTGAGATTTGAATTCAGGGCTTTCAGTCTTTCGTGTGAGATCCTAACATCAATCAATCCATCATCTCAATCATAAAGTAGTTGTACAATTTGACGGTTATTACTGTTTATATGTTTTTTGTCTTTCAAGTGAAATTGTGTTCCAGAACTTTGATACATTTCTAAAATCAACTTATATAGAAATAGATGATAGTAGATAAATGACTACAATTGGTATAATTAAATAATAGTGTGATATTATAAAACTAATTTGAGTGTTAGAACAACTTTTAACCATCATTTGATATTTCTTATTTATCTACACCCTGAGATTATGATATTCTATATCACGAAGCAATCTCTAACTTAGAATTCTGAAGGGAAACACAGAATAGGAAGGCTGAAGAACACACTACATGGAGAATTGTAAGCAGATATGATAAAGATAAATAGTAACTAGAAAAGATTTCCTAGGACAAATTTGAATGAAGAGTACTGGTAGGCGATTTATATTCTTTCACGAAGGTTGGTGATAGGCATGATAAACATGAATAGCAACTGGGAAGAACTAGGAAGGATTGGATAAAGAGTACTAGTAAACAGTTTATGCTCTTCCACGAAGAAGGTAGTGATAAGTGTATTCTATTTCAAATAATATATTTAAAATCATTTACAAATAATCTTACTTGTAACTTGTTGTATTTGATTATATTCTGTATGTAATTGTGTTAATAATTTTCCTGTTGTAATTAATTCTTCAATCATAAATTTATTACATAATGAATGTTTATTTGGATCATTCAAATGTTTATAGAATAATTCACATAAAAGATTTCTTGGATTATCCATTCAGTTTTTTTTATTAGATAATTAGGATACTATACATGGGTACTTAAATTCTTGTTAGTAGTATTTATTAATTAAAGCACTAAATAAAAGTTTCCAATGAATGAATGTATTACACAAAATCAATAATATGTATATGTATATAGATAGATAGATAGAGAGAGAGATTACATTAGGTAAACTGGAAAATGGTTACTTTGACGGATTTCTCTATGGCGTTACTCCGTTATCTATAATAATAATAAAAGTAGTAGTATTTGTAATGGACAATATAGTAATCAAAATAAGTAGTATAAGTCAACAAATATAAATTGTATCCTTTCAAGTACTCATGAACAGAAGTATAATATGCCGTATGCATATGCATATCTGTATATATATATATATACCCATAAGAATACAGACACGCCAGTTACATACAACCATTTGAGTAAGTCATTATTTAATTGTGCTTATATATCATTATGATGATTACTTTTTATCATCTTTTTGTTGTTGTTGTTGTTTTTTTTATTATTTGTTTAGTGTTAATTTTACTTATAAAGTAGTATCTAATGAGAATATCAAAATAACGAATCAAAACGGATCCAATAATAATGATCATAATCATAATCAACTTAAAATTGCAGTAGCACACAGGATAATGACACTTACACCCACATAGTTATAGATATACACATAATTCATTTAGATCTCATCCTAAGGACACGTTTAAGCATTTAGGTAAGCTATTCTTATATATATATATATCTTCTATAGTTCTGATATAGGTATATGTATATAGCAAGTATGTTCCTTTATAGAGTTAACCTTAAGTAATTACTGCTATTAATTATTTTACTATTGTTTAAGTCATTGGAATAAGGTGTAGTTCATTTAAATCATACAATGATTCGTATATATTTGGTGTTAACTAAATCTTGATATTCTTCTTTATACAATGTTACTAATTATAAAAAGTTTTTACTATTTAGATATTTTAACTAATGATCTATTTCCATGTTTATTTCAACAAATCATTCTATTCATTGATTACATGATCTTTTACTGTACAAGTTAGAATAGAGCACCATCAAAGATATTGTAGTTGTTGTTGTTGGCAATATATACATTAATAAGAATATACCTTATCAACAGTTCAAAGAACTACTGTATTAAACCTTTTTATTACTGTATCTTCAATTATCCAGTGTATGTACAGCCTCAATTTCATCTTGGTAATTACTAGATGATGATTTGAAGTTATGACAGCTCTTCTTCTGGTTCATACTTTTTTTTTTTTTTTTGATTGACCTTATGAATGTGTTTAGTGATATAAATATAATCGATCTGGTTTATATTTTTGTGATCCGGTATGATTCATATTGCTCACAATATACATCGAAAAGAATATACCTTATTATTTAGATGTTGATTTTTGAACTGCTAACATCTAACTGGTGATCACTCAATAGTTATCATCAGAATTGATCAAGAAGTAAGAAATGGGAAACTTGTTGAACTACCAAAAATATAACATTGAATAAAGCTAATAATAATAATAATAATAATAATAATAATAATAATAATAATCTACATATACTTTAACTGTTTTCTTCTTTTACCCTACAGGTTTTAGACTTAAAGATGTCTGATCAAATTTTAATAGTTAAGCTCATATTGTGTAATGTGCTTGTCCACTGTGTATTACATTCAAAAGCATATAGTGGTGAGACCATAATTTATGGACGACATTTGAGAGATGCTTAAATGTTCTTGATAGTGTCTATCGAATAACCAGAACTAAATGAAGGTTATAAACTAGTATGAGGACTTTGAATTATGATTTACAGTTGATGATTAAGGTTAGGAATTAGATTAAGGGTTTTCATCATGAACTGACATCAGCTATAATACCAAAACTCTATTAAGTCAAATGGGTGAATGAGTTTCACGCCAAGATCCGAGACCTGTTATCTTATATCTGATTGGTTCGTTCATTAATTGCAGTCTCGTCCTCACTCCAGTATCCCACAGTCACTTACTCATCTTACTTCAATGTTCTGGCAATAGTGATAAATTTTAGGTGATGATGTAATTGAATTCATATAATAAAATGTCCATTAAACATTATACAATCATTGACAGATTTATATCACCAAACACATGCCTGTATCATTTTGCGAAGTGAATTTCCTTTTCATAAGGACGTTGAAAAACATGATATACTTTCCTATTAGTTATAGCTGCAACAGCCACTAATGAAGTTTACACTTCTCTTTATTCTGAATTAGATGGATTAAAATCGAAGAGGGCATATATGCCAACAACGAATTGATCAATTGCAGTCCCAAACGTCAACGAGAAGATCCAAGTAAACTTCACCCACTTGCACAACCAAGTGGCTATCAGGACTCAGTAGCCAAGTGCATAACGCAATGGCGTTTGAAGCGAACAGTACTAGGTTCGAGTCCAAGAGCGAACATCAATTCCGAGATGCAGGTACATCTATGTGACGAGTCTCAAATAGGACGAAACGCGTGTCGTGGATTCCATTGATAACTGCTATCCATCTTGTTAATTAAGGCAATACGCACAGCATACGCATATGACAATAAAAGACAGATCAATTACAGTTCTAAACATCAATAAGAAGATTCAAGCAAACAATACCAAGTGAATTTTAGATATTAGTTCTTATTTCTGAAAACTACCTTCCTAAATTACAAGCAGTAGAGCCTTTTTAATTAATCTTTTGAGTAGTATGATAATGAGTTATTATTGTCGTTTAGCTCAGCTAATCTCTATATCTTGAAGATGATCTGTAGTTTTCAAGTTCAATGATACAATTGTCGGTTAACATAGTTCAGTATATTCACTATTCCGTAAAATTTCTGCAAAATTAATAGCTCACCATTACACTTACTGTAATTGATAAATAGTCTTTAAGTAAGTTTAATTTAATAATAAGATGGATACGGAGGACCCACCTAGAGGAGTTGGATAACCCTGATCACAAACCAATAGTCTACATGGGCTCCAGGATCCTGAAGGAAACAAATGGTGTATAAACCTATTGTTGGTTACCGGCTACCATGGAACTGCATCTCCCAATGTTGCTCCACTACTTTGTGGATTAGACATTTAGCTCCAATGTTCCAGGTATGACCCCCTAACGAAACCACTTGCTTCTGTTTGGGCACCTAGGAAATATCCCAATACTCACATAAACCGAATAATTTATGTGGCGTATATCCATTTGGTGCTTCCTTGTATCAATGTTCATATGTTTAAATAAGTCATCCACTTTAGAAGTTCATCTTCTTTACTTTCATTAAAACATAAGTCAATTAAAAGCGCTGAATTGAATCTAATATCCAGAAAGTAATATTTCTACCATCTCAATATGTAATACAAAGCTTTTGAATGTATATTTAAAGGGAATAATGAATCCTATTAGTTATATAATTCTATATTTCAAATGAGTATTAAAAAGCTAATAACTTGCTTTCATATATTACTCATTACTACAATGAAGTATATTGACCTAACTTATCGGACTATTCTGAATAGTATAGTAGTTGATAGAATAACAAGAGGAAATTTGTGTCGGAGATCATTTATTGAAGGTAGATTAAGATGATGATGATTTAGCAGTTTTTATATGGGCAAATAGAAAAACGTTAATGGTTTGAAACATCTAAGAGAGCACTGGCCGTTTTCAATGTATTAATCACCGATCAACATCATATAACCTAATTCATAACGATTTTCTAGCATCATCATATATTATTGTTGCAATCTAAAAATTTATAAATATGATCAGTGATTGTTATTTAACAGATGATATTGGATTATATATCGGCTGTTCAAATATTAAGCGATTTACCCGTCCAGTTCAATTGGCGGTATGGCGATACAATTATCTGCTCAAATCATTAAATTTAGGCAGTCGAGTGAATCTTTGGAAGCCTGTAAACGACATCGTCTTCTCTACCCTCATCACTGACAGTGTTTCTCACTAAAATCATTGATATGAATCCAGAGTAATACTTCTTGGTTTACCGATCCCCGACAAAGTCAAGGATAATTAGTGCGCATCAATGAGATCAATGCCATGAACCGATCTAAGCTGTGATGGTTGAACTTCGTTTAACATACATATCTTCACTATCGTATTTCTGTGATAAAAATGTATGTGTCGAACGGTTATAAACGTAGCTATAGTACCTGGATACGATAAAGAGTAATCGACATACGGTATTAACCGTAAAGTATGTTTTTGATCTACCTCCACCTGAAGCTCTTCTAGGGTTACTACCAATCCCAAGCCATGGTAAAGAAGGAGGGTTGGATTTGCAGTCAGCAACCACATCTCGTAGTAAAAAACATTTCCTAAAAAACGCTATCCAGAAAAAACAATTTAAACCATTCAAAATCTGTCCTGAGAGTCGAAGGATCGTCATTCAGAAGAATTAGGACAGCTCGTGATGAAAGCAGAGATTCTTTGAAAGTCAGGAAGCCATTGCCCCTTCTAACAAACAGAATGACAACTAATATAGGTACATGAAATATTCAGACAGTGTAAGAGAACGGAAGGATCAGTCAAATAGCTGAAGAAATGGGAACTTGTAACTTGTCAGTGCTTGGAATAAGTGAAATCCGTTGGACCTAAGTTAAACAGAAAAAGTCAGATTCTGTAGAGATGCTTTTGTATTTTGATCACGAAGAAGTAAGTGCTCCATACACTCACGGAGTTGATATGATGCTGTCCAAAAAAAGCACGGAAAGCACTTATTGGATGGGAATCTCATGGATCCAGAACCATCTAAGCATCATTCAAAATAAAGAAGAAGGGAATCACAATGAATGTTGTCCTGTGTTATGCACCCAACAATAATAGTAATGACGACGACAAATATGTGTTTTATGAGAGGCTGCAATCAATCATAATGAAGTGCTGAGGAAAGAACCAGACAATTCTGATGGGAGAACTAGACGCCAAAGTTGGAATGGACAACACCGGATATGAAGATAGCATGCGACAACATGGACTGACTGAGAGAAATGAATGAGAATGATGAGAGATTTGCAAATATATGTGCATTCAACAAAATAGTTAGAGGTGGCACAATATTCCTCCACAAATACATTAAAAAGCAACATGTATCTCACTCAATCACACTACAGAGAATCAGGTCGATCATATTTGTATCACTGAGAAATTCGGAAGGGAGATCGTGACACTATGGATCGTCGTTGAACAATCGATTGAATGGAAGTCGTTACTATACATCAACTTTGATAATGAAAAAGCATTCGGCAGTATAGATAGGAGGACCTCATGAACCCTCTTGCAACACTATAGTGTACTTAAGAAAATCATCAATATCATCCGGAATCGATACAACAGACTACACTGCAAAGTGATGCATAGATGAAAGCTGACAGATGCATTAAAAGTGAGGACTGGAGTCAGACATACTGCCCGTTCTTTTACTTTCTCTTTCTTCTGGTGGTTGACTAAATTATGAAGGCATTCATGCCTGAGGAGAAGCACAGAATACAATGGACAGCTTGTATGCAACTAAATGATTTGGTCTTCGCATTCATATATTCATATTTATTAATTATACCATTATGATCAAGCAAACAGAATCAGTTTGAATAGGTACATAAATACTATTGAAAAAAAAAATAAATAGAGGATAAATTTAATTAACCGTTAGATGCCGGCTCAGTAGTCTAAAGGTTAAGCGCTTTCGCGCGAGACCGATAAGCCCTAGGTTCAAATCCTGCGAGACGGGATCATGGATGCGCACTGCTGAGGAGTCTCACGATAGGACAAAACGGCCATCCATTGTTTCCAGGTTTTCAATGGTGGTCTAACATCAATCGATTCATGATCTTAACTATTAAAATTAATATAACATCCACAAAACCCCTGCTGATATTAAACTAATTATGCCTATCAAAGAATCTTTTAGTAAAAAAAGTTCTCTTTTGGACGATTTCAGTTTTAAAAGTTGTATACTTGTACTTATATGAAATAATCAGTTAGCTGAGTGGGTAATATATAGTAATATGCATACCAACAATGAATAGGATTTATTGAGTGCAGTTTACAACAATCTATAAAACATTATAAATAGAAAGTGATGGTAACTATCAGTGGAACTCAGGATGTGCATTTCGTCCCATCTGAGACTCGTTAGTTGGATGTGAATAACGCGTTGACGTTTGAAGTGAACAATACTGGATTCGAGTTTCTAAGTGAAAATCAGCTCTGGAATGAAGGTACATTCAAATGACGAATACTAAATAGAACGAAACGTGTGTTATGGATTCTATTGCTAGTCATTATCCATCTCTGCTTATAATATCTGTGACTTAAAGCAATATAGAGGTAATCCATACAGAATACATATGTGTTGATCAACTCAGTCTTAAACGTCAATTGAAAGATTTACACAATCAATATAAGATGATTAATTATGTAATACAGATTATTAATCAATAAATGAATTATCAGACCGTCTCTAATAGTGATTGAAGGTCAAGAACACAATCCGATTGATTGGCAGTAGTTTGTTAGTAATGTCATGTTTTGTTTTTTTTCAATGAATATTAACCGTCAATGGAAATGATCAAAACTTGTGTATTCATAATGTTCATCTTTTAACTTTCAGAAAAAAAAACAAAAAAAACAGACAGAGTCTAGAAGAAACAGTTTACTTTTAATCATTTAATATAACACAAAGTGAACTAGAAAATGGAACTATACAGTTTAATGATCCCATTAGAAACTTGATTGATATAAATCATTTAACAGATCATAGCTTCCTAATCCTTCATAGTCTTTTTATATTATATACACTCTATTTTATAAATGTTCACGAATAGTCTGTGTATTGTGATTCAGTTACATCTGTTGATGACAGATAATACTAACTAACCAAAATAACACTCACAAATCACATTCATAGATTAAAATAATGTGAAAAATATTGTGATTGTGTATTATCGACATATACACCGATTCGGTTAAAGCTCTGAATATACACTTTTCATCCATTCAATTTCATAAACAACAGTAATGCCACAAGAAGGCAGTGAGTAAGATTTCTATGATAGTGGTTGTATGGACATGACCATGTGAAAGTATTTGGAAAAAGAGAGTGAACTCTCCTTACCCTCGACCGTACCGGGGTATTTGGGGAAATATGACATTTCTTATACAAAATATGTAAGTAGATTATATTTAACGTAAGCCCTTTTCATAATTTTATCGACTAATGGTTAATTTTACTTGGAAATTATTAAAACAATGTAGCACCTGATTTACAATATATACATATATATATAACTCCGCCTGTAGCTCTTCCAGAGTTACTGCCGGTCCCAAGCCCGGGTAAAGGAGGAGGGTTGGGCATGGGGTTAGCGTCCCCATCCTGTAGAAACCTAACTCGCTAAAAAAACGCTAACCAGAAAAAACAACTCAAACCATTTAAACTCTGCCCTGGGAGTTAGAGGTAATATGACGCTTCATGGTGAAAGCCGAGTTCCTTCGGAAGCCACGAGGCCGATGCCCCTCCTAACAACCAGAGCAACAATTTTTATAGGTACATGGAACGTCCGGACAATGTGGGAGACCGGGAAGACCAGTCAAATAGCAACGGAAATGAGGAGATACAACTTGGCAGTACTGGGAATCAGTGAAACTCATTGGACCCAAGCTGGACAACAAAGGCTAAATACGGGAGAGATGCTGCTATACTCCGGTCACAAAAAGGAAAATGCTCCACACACTCAGGGAGTTGCTCTAATGCTATCCAAAGTAGCACGAAATGCACTTGTAGGATGGGAATCTCACGGATCCAGAATCATCAAAGCATCATTCAAAACAAAGAAGGAGGGGATCACAATGAACATTATCCAATGTTATGCACCCACCAATGATAGCAACGACGACGTTAAGGATCAATTCCATGAGAGGCTGCAATCAATCATAGAGAAGTGCCCAAGAAAGGACCTCACCATTCTGATGGGAGATCTAAACGCCAAAGTCGGAATGGACAACACCGGATATGAAGACATCATGGGACTACATGGACTGGGAGAGAGAAACGAAAACGGGGAAAGATTTGCAAATCTGTGTGCATTCAATAGATTGGTCATAGGCGGTACAACATTTCCACACAAACGTATACACAAAGCTACGTGGATCTCACCGGACCACACCACAGAGAACCAGATAGATCACATTTGCATCAATAAAAAGTTCCGAAGGACAATGGAAGATGTGAAAACCAGGAGAGGAGCGGACATAGCTTCAGATCATCACCTGGTTGTGGCCAAATTGAAACTGAAGCTAAAGAAGAACTGGACAACTGGACAAACAGCATCACAAAGGTTCAATACAGCCTTCCTTCGAGATACTGACAAACTCAATGAATTCAAGGTAGCTCTCAACAACAGGTTCCAAGCCTTACAGGATCTACTGAAGGAAGAAGAAACTACTATGGAGGATAGCTGGAACGGTATCAAAGAAACATTAACTTCAACGTGTCAAGAGGTTCTGGGCCCCAAGAAGCATCATCACAAGGAATGGATCTCCATAGAAACACTGGACAGGATCAAAGAAAGGAAGAACAAGAAGACAGCGATTAACAATAGTCGAACAAGAGCAGAGAAAGTCCAAGCACAAGCTGAGTACGTAGAAGCAAACAAGCAAGTGAAGAAGAGCATTAGAGCTGATAAGCAAAAATACGTGGAAGAACTAGCAACGACGGCGGAAAAAGCTGCAAGAGAAGGAAATATGAGACAGCTTTACGATACAACGAAGAAACTTGCAAGGGAACGTAATAAACTAGAGAGAATGGTCAAAGACAAAGAAGGCACTTCAATCACCGAAATTCAACAGCAGCGGAACAGATGGGCAGAGTACTTCGAGGAACTCTTGAATAGGCCGGCTCCAATGGATCCACCGGACATCGAAGCAGCACACACAGATCTTCCTATTAATGTCAATCCACCAACGACAGAAGAAATCAGAATGGCCGTCAGACAAATCAAGAGCGGGAAAGCAGTAGGACCTGACAATATACCAGCTGAAGCGTTGAAGTCAGACATCGAAGTAACTACAAGCATGCTTCATCTTCTATTCAAGAAGATTTGGGAGGAGGAACAAGTGCCGATGGATTGGAAAGAAGGACACCTCATCAAGATTCCAAAGAAAGGAGATCTGAGCAAGTGTGAAAACTACAGAGGCATTACACTTCTGTCAATACCGGGTAAAGTCTTCAACAGAGTGTTACTGAACAGGATGAAAGACGCAGTTGACGCTCAACTTCGAGATCAACAAGCTGGATTCCGTAAGGACCGGTCGTGCACAGACCAGATTGCGACACTACGGATCATCGTCGAACAATCAATTGAGTGGAACTCGTCACTCTACATCAACTTCATTGATTATGAGAAGGCATTTGACAGTGTAGATAGGAGGACGTTATGGAAACTTCTTCGACACTACGGAGTTCCTGAGAAGATTGTCAACATTATCCGGAACTCATACGACGGACTACAGTGCAAAGTACTGCATGGAGGACAGCTGACAGAGGCATTCCAAGTAAGGGAAAACCAAGGTCCTCAAACACAACACGGAGAACAGCAATCCAATCACTCTTGATGGCGAAACTCTGGAAGACGTGGAATCCTTCACATACCTGGGAAGCATCGTCGATAAACAAGGAGGTTCAGATGCAGACGTCAAGGCGAGGATTGGCAAAGCTAGAGCGGCATTCCTTCAACTGAAGAACATATGGAACTCAAAACAACTTTCAACCAATATCAAAGTCAGAATCTTCAATACGAACGTCAAGGCAGTTCTACTGTACGGAGCTGAAACTTGGCGAATTACAACAACCACCATCAAGAAGGTACAAGTATTTATCAATAGCTGTCTAAGCAACATACTCAACATCCATTGGCCGGATACCATCAGCAACAGCCTTTTGTGTGAGAGAACCAACCAGCTTCCAGCTGAAGAGGAAATTAGGAAAAGACGATGGAAATGGATAGGACATACATTGAGGAAATCATCAAACTGCATTACGAGACAAGCGCTAACTTGGAATCCTGAAGGGAAGCGGAAAAGAGGAAGGCCAAAGAACACATTACGTCGGGAAATAGAAGCAGATATGAAAAAGATGAATAAGAACTGGAAAGAGCTTGAAAGAATTGCCCAGGACAGGGTTGGATGGAGAATGCTGGTGAGCGGCCTATGCTCCTTCACGAGGAGTAACAGGCGTAAGTAAGTAAGTAAGTAAGTAAGTATATATATATATATATATATATATATATATATATATATATATATATAGAGAGAGAGAGAGAGAGAGAGAGAAATTGAATTCATGGGACTACCTCAGAAAAGCATTGAATGGCCATTTCGTCCTAGTATGAGAATCCTCAACAGTGCACATCCACGATCTTGTATGCACGACACGAAACCATAACCTTCGGTCTTGAGCGCGAACGCTTAACCTGTAGACCACTAAACTAAGCCAGCATCTAACGGTGTTAATGTGTTACTTCAATAGATCCATGATCTTGCTCAACTATTCATCCATTGGCTGAGGTAGATACTTGTTTCTACGCCACACGGATTGAACTCCAATGGTTACAGCCTTTCAATAGAATTCCATGAATTCAGTCACTAATGTGCATATAATGATTATTATTAAAATAAGAATTTATGGAAATTAATGTAATTTCTTTTTAATAGATGAATTCATGAGTCAATTAAAGTTAGACCATCTTAGAAAACCTAAAACCATTAGATGACCATTTCATCCTAGTATGAGATTCCTCAACAGTACACATCTATAATCCTATCTCTAGCACCCAAATTCATTAAATTACTACAATCTTCACAACCCTCCCCTTTCTGTTATATATATCTATATATATTGTTTTGCCCCCGAATGCCGAGAGTATGGAGAGTCCGCTCTCCCTCTCCAAATGCTCTCACATGGCCACGCGTATATAGCCTCTGCCAGGGAAGTCCTACTCACTGACTTCTCGTGGCATTACTGCTGTTTACGAAAATGAGAGGACGAAAAGCGAATGTCCGGCGCCTTAACCGGATCCCAAACCAATGGTGCACATGGGCTCCAGTATCCTGAAGGAACAGATGGCGTATGAACCAATCGTTGGTGACCGGCTACCATGGGACTGCATCTCCTCACGATGCTCCACTGCCTTGTGGATCAGATCTTCAGGTCAAAGGCTCGGGGTGTGGCCTCCTAAGAAAACCACCTGCTTCGGTTTGGGCACCCCGGGTAGTATCACAGACCTCACACATATCCAATGAGATCTGTGTGGCGCAGATGTATTTGGTACCTTCTTGTACCGATATCCATGTGTTAAAATAAATAATAAATAAAATATATTGTTTTAATATATTTCACTTTAAAGTGTTTTATTCAATAGGTATAACTGTTTAATAAATGATTATAACTGATCTAGTTAATAAACATTTATACTAATAGCAATAGTAATAATAATGGTAGGAACAGTAGTAATAGTAATGGTAGTAATAGTAATAGTAATAATAATAATAATATAAACTACTTAACTATTAATATTCATATTGTGATATGAATAATTATGTTTACATTTACGTAAAGTTTAGATATTTCAATGTTGACAATGAATAAGAATTAACAAAATCATCATCATCATCATCATCATCATCATCATCATCATCATCATCATCATCATGTATATAAGTAGATAAAAAGAGAAAAGTTTTTTTCTCGTTTTTCTCTTTTTTTATTTTTCTCTTTTCTTTTTTTTCTTTACTTAAATAAATAAAAAGACAAAAAGAATCAAAAATAGGAATAAAATTAATAATGTAAAGTAATGTTACTACTTATAATCTTATTGTAATAGATTATTACATATATACATACACACATACACACATACATACATACATACATACATACAAAACGTATATAAGTAAGACATGATAATATTGAAATATAATAAATATATGATCAAAAGGAATTTTTTTTATAATTTCTGAAAGAGAAATGAACTTTACAATAAAGAAAAGAAAGAAAATAACCAGAAAGTAATTTAGATAAGAGTAGAATAAAATTTGATCTGTATTAGGAAAGATCTGAGATTCATAATATTGATCATTAATCAGTCAGTCGTGTACTGAATAGTTCAGTGATAACTTCTCTGACCATGGTGACATGGGATCGAAACTGTCAGGGAGCATCATTTCCTAGAAGATTACAGGTAAACTTTGCTGACAAGTGTCAAGTAGCACGAAACCTAGGTCCAGGATTTCTTATTGACTACCTACAATCAATTAGAGTAGTGGTCATATTTCAATTTAGTTGATAGGATTCAATCTGCACTGGGAAGGATCTGACGTACATGATATTGAACATCAATCAGTGATTAAGCAATTGTAAATACAGCTCAGTTCTATGGGAGATCAGTCGCGTCCCGGATAGCACAGTGGTAAAGTCTCTAATTGTGAAGCTAGGTGATACGGGATCGAAACTGTCAGGGAGCATCATTTCCTAAAAGATTACAGGCAAACTTTGCTGACAAGTGTCAAGTAGCACGAAACTCGGGTTCAGGATTTCCTATTGACTACCTCCAACCACTATCTTATTTCAAAAATACAAAGTTGGATTTTTTTCCAGTAGTATCATCATAATCACTATGGTTACAATGGCAGAACACAGAATTTCTCAAGTTTTCATCGAATTTGAACAAAACAGAATATGGTTCAATTATTTCACTGATTTAAATGTGTGTAGAGAGAAAAAAGGATTCACATGTATACTATTGCATTATAATTTAACATTGTGTAATAAGAATTATAATATGATGTATGTTACTTATGTCGAAATACGTAGTATATAACATCAATCAGGAATAGAATACCTGACAGTAGATGGCTAAGAAGATCGAAGAGGGAAGAATTGGAACACAGGATAATTGGTAAATGGAACAATGAAGTTTTAGACAACTAATAAAAATTTTGAAAATAAAGCATTAAAGTATGGTTTCTTTACATTTTACCAGGTCACTCTGCAATTATATGTTGATATACAATCGGATGTCACTCCCCTCTGCGTCCTTATTCACAACAATAATAGTAACCAGAAAAGGGATTTTGTGGATATTATAGTAATTTAATAGTTGAATTCATGAGTTGAGTTGAGTTCAACCGTGTCTGTTGTGAGACAGTGACTCATTAAAGACAATGGTAGACGGTGGCTCAATTAAGTGGATTGGTTGAAATTCGACATTAACACTGTTGGATGCCGGCCATCTCAGTTGTCTAATGGTTAAGGGCTCGTTTGAGAGACTGATAGGTCCTCGGTTCGGACCTCATGAGGCGGGATCGTGGATACGCACCGCTGAAGAATCGCATACTAGGACGAAACGGTCGTCCAATGCTTCCAGGTTTTCCATGGTGGTCTAGCTTCAATTGACTCATGATCTCAACTATTAAATTAATAATAGTAATATTACAAATTCACACAATGAATACAAAGGTTCGCATCGATACTACGATTTGACATGAATAACTGTGTCCAGCATACTTTTAAATTTCTAATCACTAACTGTTATGTTTGATCGTTGCTGATTGTTGTGCTGGAAAAACTCTGATCACTTATACTCGAAACGAGGGACCTCTGCAATTCCCACGACGCGAAAGTAGGAACACAAAGACTGGTATACGTGAAGATTTATTAGCCCCAAAACACTATGACGACGACAATGACCCTAGTCGAAAGCACACTTATTTATATATATTGATTGTACACTCATTTTGATTAATAATTAGGATGAAATCACATATATGAGTATAGTTCATAGTCAATGGAATACAAGAATATTGTATACTATACAGAATAAAATATCATACCGGAAAAACAAAACGGAATACTACACTGAATCATCATTACATTGAATCCTAGTGGAAGTAATGACGAATAAAACTCATAATGAGTAAATCAATCAAATTTTGACTTTTCTTTCCATCATATCACTAACCTAATTATCTGCATAAATATTTCATTGTAGACAATGAAACACTGTATTTGAAAATTAATTTACGAAACCATTAGAGGATCGAGTAGCACACAGTTATGTCGTTGTTATTAGTAATCACAATTATTCTAATATAGGATCCAATGAGTATTGACCGATGTCATGTATATCAAGTACTTACTTACTTAGCCTGTTACTCCAAATGGAGCATAGGCCGCCGACGAACATTCTCCAACCCACTCTATTTAAATGCATGTCAAGTCAAATTCAATAAATCGAACTAAATTATAGTTACCAATCTATGTGACTCATTGTCATATTTACTAAAAGAGATTATTCGGAGCTCAAGCAGCTTTGTTCCTACAGGGTCGTGGAGCCCATGTACACCACTGATTTAGAATCAGGCTTTTCGAACTCCCCTAGGTGGATTCTCTATATTCACCAACCTGGTTAAAGCACCGGACGTTCGCTTTTCGTCGCGAGAAGACAGTGGGTAGGACTTCTGTGGCAGTGGTTGTATGCACATGGCCACTCGAGAGCATTTGGAGAGAAATAGAGCTCACTCTCTCCCTACTCTCCGTCGTACCAGGTCATTCGGGGGCAAGTTATACGTAGTATATTAAAAATCTAAATTCTAGGTAGTGACAAATATTTATATCAGAAGGGGTTTGTGGAGATTTTAATAATTTCAATGTTTGAAATCATGAGTCAATTGAAGCTAGACCACCATGGGAAACGTTGAAGCACTGGACGGCCATTTCATCCTAGTATGGAACTCTTCAGCAGTGCGCATTCGCGATCCCGACCCCCCCTCGAGGTTCAAACCCAGGACCTATCAGTCTCGCTCGCGAACACTTAACCTCCATACCAATCAGTCGAAATCCAACGGTGTTAATGTTAAACTTCAACTAAACTACGAAATTGAGCGACACATCCACCATTGCCTTCAGTGAGTTATTATTTCACAACAGACTTGGTTGAACTCCACTGATCACGTCTTCTCACTAGAACTCCAGCAAATGCCTCTTGAAGTCAGTCACTAATGAGAAGATGATCATTATCAGAAAGGGTTTTGTGGAGATTTTAATAACTTTAATAATTGAAATCATACTAG